AGTCCACATTCAACCATTTCCTGCAATTACTGACCACGTCCGTGCTCTCCCTCCGAGGCCCCTAGGTGACAATGGACTCTCTCCCCAATTCTCTGCCACAATTCCCGTAGCATCTGTTTGGTCTTAAAGATTGTTCAGAGTTGGATGTGAACCGACCCCCAGAACGCTCGTGCATGGAAGGCTTGGTCCAACCCGAGCAGGGTTCCGAGGTGGGGCTTTGGGAAGTGACTGGACCCGAGGGCTCGGGCTTCAAGAACGCATCGACCCGCTGATGACTCGCAACTGGAGGACACCACTGAGAGGGAATGGAAACGTCAGGAGGTGGGGCCTGGCTGAAGGAAGGAGGTCACCGGGGTGTGCCTGTGAAGGATGCATTCGTCCTTTACCCTTTCTTCTCCATCACTGGCTCTCCCTGCTTCCTGACCACCATGACACACACGTTCCGACCACAGGCCCAGAGACGCCGGAAGCAGGTGACCATGGACAGAAACCTCTGAAACCGAAAGCCAGAATAAATCCCTCTTCCCTCCCACTGGTCCTTCACGTCCTTGTCACAGCAAGGAAGTCCACCGCAAAGGTACATGTCAACTTTACGTTCCATCCATGTGGCCCTGTTTGTTTTAGTCTGATTTTTTTCTCCCAAGTCATTTAGTGAAATTGTCACTCTGGGAACAGGTACTGCTTCAATGCAGTGACTTGCACCTGCTTCTGGGGCCGTACTGGAGCAGTCTGGCCGCCGTCTTCACTCTGTCTCAGCATCCCATTCTGCTGGGAAGGATGGCACAGGGACTGCCCCATGCCCTTGCCTGGCTGGACATCTGCTCTGGGCCCCGTTCTCAGTGTACAAAGGCCGACGCCAATCCCAAAGGGCAAAGAGGTCCACACACAGACCCACGAGCCCCTCTGACCTGACGACACGAGTGAGCCGTAACCACAAGTAGCTGATTACTCCTGGCCTAGAATTTCGTGACCCTCTGGTGAAGAGGTCACAAACTGGACTGGAGGCTATGCAACTTGTTCATTTGGCTTTCAGGGTGTTACCTTTTTCCTCCTTGAACTGGTTGACAATATTTAAAATTCAAAAGTCAGAAGATTTAAAAAGAAAGAAAGAAAAAAAAAAGGTAGGCATGGTGGTGTTTGCCTGTAACCCCAGCTCTAAGGAGGCTGAGGCAGGAGGATGGTGAGTTTGGGGTCAGATTACGGGATGTACATGTGAGATTCTGTCAAAAGAAGGAGAAGAGAGGGGAGGAAAAGAGAGGGGAGGAGAAGAGAGGGGAAGAGAAGAGAGGGGAGGAGAAGAGAGGGGAGAAGAGAGGGGAGGAGAAGAGAGGGGAGGAGAAGAGAGGGGAGGGGAGAAGAGAAGAGAGACCACCAGTTTCTCCAAAGGGAAGAAAATATGAGAAGCTCTGGCAACCCTGGCTCTGCCCTCCATGAGGACACACACTGTGCACTTCCCCACAGTCCCTACCACTCCCTATTGTCTCACAACACAGATCCCAGCCCCATTCACTCGCTCCCATGTGCCCCTGACCTCATTAGCCTCACTGTGAGATGGTCCTGATCTAGTACAACTACCAGTACCAGAGAGGCTAAACAACCTGTCCTTCATCAAAGAACTAGTTAGTTGTAATTCTCAAGTATGTCGATCAGGTACCGTGGCACACACCTATAATCCCGCCACTTGGGAGGCCGAGACAGGAGGATCCTGACTTTGAAATCAGCCTGGGCTATACAGTGAGACCCCATCTCAACACACACACACTCCATTTAAAAGGACCCTTTCAAGTACCTGCTGTCTTTCTAACCACAGCCCAGGAGGCACACAGCTCTTGGCTGATGTGGATCAAAGAAGGAGACCTCAAAGGGCACGAACCCTGGCTGCTCACAGCACCTGCCCAGCTGCAGTGTCCCCTACCTGTGGGCTGGGGCTCTCACTTCCAATCCTGTATTTCTGGGGACATTTTCCCCATTGTCCCCTTGCCCCCATCCCAGCCACTCTACCCTCATCTAGGGGTGGCCGTGGGAATCAGAACAGAGAAGAACAGCCTGGTGCCAGATAAGACAGAAACTTCCCCTTGCCTTTGGTGTCAGCCACAGAATCCTAACTGGGACACTAGTGCTAGGCCTGGCGTAACTCCCTATTTGTTTTGGGAGACTGGTGGTTGTCAGTTAAGTCAGATTAATAAATACCTCAGGGTTTCCTCATGAGACTCTCCAGAGTGAACCTGTAGGTCACTGCCCAAATCTGCCCCACCCCCACCTGCCTGTTAAACCATGGCTAACTTGACAGATATTGCTGGTGTCCTTAACACAGCAAGACAGACAGAACTGCCCTGATTCTTGTCTGACAAGTGCATAACAAAAGAAGCCTCCCAGGCAGCCCGGGTCTCTGAGGCTGTGCCACGTGGATCAACCTGTCACAGTTCCATTTCATCCTGCTCTAGAAAAAGATCACTTCCTGCCGTTATCTGACTTGTTCACTGGTGCAATCAAATTTCCCCTTTGTGGCAGGGTTTGGGTCAGTGTACACAGGACTGGGTTCAAGGATCCTCAGCTCAGCCAAAATAATACTTTTTTTTTTTTTTTTTTTGCTGGCACTGGGATTTGAACTCATGCCTCATGCTTGCTTAGGCAGGTGCTCTACCACTTAAGCCATTCCACCAGCTCAAACTGAATGTGGTGTCCTTTTTTTTTTTTTTTTTTTTTTCTTTTTTGGTAGCACTGGGGCTTGAGCTCAGGGCTTCATGCCTGTAATCTAAGCTACTCAGGGGGCAGAGATCAAGAGGATTGAGGTTTGAAGCCAGCCCGAGGCAAACAGTTCCGAGACCATATCTCAAATAAACCCTTCACGAAAAAGGGCTGATGGAGTGGCTCAAGGTGTAGGCCCTGAGTTCAAACCCAAGCACACCCAATAAATAAATAAATAAATAAATAAATAAATAAATAAATAAATAAATAAATAAATAAATAAATAAAAAGGCTCCCCTCAATAAGAGAGGAGGTGCCATGAGTCAGGGCCTCATCTGCACTGTATGCAGCCTTGTCCCCAGAACCTCAAACCTACCTGTCACTACCTGAACAGGTAAACCCAGTGTGGCCACAGAACTGGCCTGTCAAAGTGTCAGCCTCCAGACACACCAGCCTCGGCCTCTCTTAGCTGTGCTGTGGAGAGCTGACAGTTTCCAGGTGTTCTGGGCCAAAGGCACCATGAGACATTTACAGGTAACAGGTTAGGACGTCTTCCCAGTCCTGACAGCCCCCTTGGCTCCACAAGGAGAGGGGAGGTTTCCAGACACCGTCCCCTCTATTGTGGGAGGAGCGAAGCCTCAGGACACAGCACTGTAGCTCCTGAGCAAGAGGCAGTGCTGATGCTTCTCTTCCTGCACCTGGAAAACGCTCTCAGGCTCTGCAGAGAGCAAGGAGGAGAGGAAAAGGCAGAGCTCCCTCCACTCCAGCCCAGGTACTGACAGTTGCTTTGTCTTTTTGTGCAGATATGAAACACAGGTCCAGGTAGGCATGTAGCACACACCCCTTTAATCCTAGGCTGAGGCATGACTGCAAGGCCGGCCTGAGCTACGCAAGAAGACTTGGTCTGGAAAAAAATTTAAACACACACCACACACACACATGGGGAAGGCTGACTCTGTACCTTGCTTTCTCCTACTTAATATCGCAGATCTTTCAGACCAATTCAGAAACTCTCCTGGGGCTAGGGTGTAGCTCAGTGACAGAGCACTTGCCTAGTACTCACGAGACCCTGGATTCTATCTTTGCACTGGGAAAGGAAGCAGAGGAGAGGGGAGGGGAGGGAGGAACGACTGGGTGTGGTGGTGCTCAACAGTAATCCCAGCTACTCAGGAGTGAGGTCAGCCCAGGCAAAGTTAACAAGACCCTATCTCAAAAACAAAATGCAAACAAAAGGGCTAGGAGCATGGCTCAAGAGGGAGAGCACTTGCCTGGAATGCACAAGGCCCTGGGTTCTACCCCAAGTGGAGGAAAGAAAGGAAGAAAGGAAGAAAGGAAGAAAGGAAGAAAGGAAGAAAGGAAGGAGGAAGGAGAGAGGGAGGGAGGGAGGGAGGGAGGAGCCCTCCTGTCTTTGCTGAGTGCTCAGGGGAGTGGTGCACACAGAGGTGCCAATCGCACATTCACAGAAGTCCTGAGTAACGGTCAGGGGAACCACTGTTTCAAGCAGGCAGAGTGAGTCCCTTCCCGGCCAGGTTTTCGGATTCCAGCCCCACAAGTGCTCCAGAATTTCCTAACCTGCAGGACAAGGGATCAGAGTGGACTAGAGGCCACTTGGCTCTCAGTGTGTTGCTTTGTCCTGACTCCAGAAAGCACCTGTCTCGCTTACCTGGGCAGCAGGAATGCTGCCCATCTGACCACCTGTGTAAAAGGTGGCAAGGGGTCAACGCTGAAGAAGAAGCACGCTCTCAGGAAACAACAGGAAGCTGGCACCTGCCCGTTGTTGATTTAAGGGCACAGGGAGGATTTACAGCTGCCTACACCCAGGTAAGGCTTCGGAGTTCTGTGCCACAACCCAGGCTGGCCTTGGACTCCTGGGCTCCAGCGATCCTCCCACCTTGGCCTCCGAGTAGCTGGGATTACAGGTATGAACCACCACGCTTGGCTCGATAGAAGAGTGCACACTGACACTAGAAATGCCCTCTTCTGCCCTCTTGTCCTTGAACATAACGTGGACTTTTCCAGGCAGTGACTCTACACCAGGCACAGTGCTCGGCAGCAGACAAAACCCACAGACAGTAGGGAAAACAAACGCTGAGTCACTAATTGGACTTTCACTCAAGATGGCTGATGTCCCACACCTGCCATACTCCTCCCCAAATACGCACACAGAGGGGGAAACAAATTTGTCTTTAACACAGCCAAGCTCCTCATTTCTTCTCCAGGTACCAGAAATGAGGAAGGATGGCGAAGGTGAAACCAAGAGCCAGGCCTCAGGGGAGCCGAAACTCCCAGGAGGCAGTGACAGTGACACCTACTTCAGAAGGTTCTCGGCTCCTGTCCGCATTCGCACTGCCTTCAGGATCTGCTGGTTCAACGCGGCCCTTTGGTTCTGCAGTTTGCTCCGGCCAGTTTGTGCCAGGGGGTTACAGCCCTAAAGGAAAAAAACGAGACGTCCTATCAGATGTCAGCCACTCTAAAAATGATGACAATGACTAATAAAAAGCGTTTAACGGAAAAGTAAGCTTTTTGGAAAATTAAAAAGTCAACTCAACATAGAAAATGAGCCAGGTTCTGGTGACTCATGCTCATAATCCCAGCTACTTGAGAGGCAGAGATCAGGAGGATCGCAGTTTGAGGACAATACAGGCCAACAGTTTGTGAGATCCTTATTCCAAAAATAACCAGAGCAAAATGGACTGGAGGTGTGGCTTAAGTGGTAGAGCGCGTGCTTTGCAAGTGTGAAGCCCTGAGTTCAAATCCCCAGTCCCACCCAGTCTCTGTGTGTGTGTGTGTATATACATACATATATAAATATGTATTCATACAGAGAGAGAGAGAGGGAGGGAGGGAGGGAGGAAATGAAAAAGTATCAAGAGGATGAAAGTCACTGATAACACAGCTCCAAAACAGCCACAGTGGACTGGTCTCTTTCCTTCCAGGCTATTTTGTGTGCATGCCGTTGTTTTCCACACCTGGGGCTGTGTTGGGAGTCCCCAAGGCCACTCTCAGGTTGGGACATAAGGCTATGCCTTATCATGGTGGCTTAATAAGGACACACAGCTGGGTCATCAGAGGAAAGAGAGTCCAGGGGAATCACAGCTGGCTTCCTTCCTGTGCTCTCCCACCCGCGGCGGTCACACCCCGAGCCCACCTTTCCCAGTGTCAAAAATGCAGTAACTGTGCAAAATCTCCACCCAAGATAACTCATTAGTGAGTTTGGAGCTCACCACAAAGGCCCCCTCTGCCTAGATCGTACCAAAATTCCAGACTCGGTCAAGCACAGTGGTATATTTGCCTGTAATGCCAGCAGTCAAGAGGTTGAGGCAGGAGGAGGGTCAGTTAGGGACCAAAGCAGGGTAGGAGGTGAGACCCTCAATAAAAACAAAACAACAACAACAACAACAACAACAAGAAACAAACTAGGCATGGTATCACACACCTGTAATTCCAGCTACTCTGGAGGCAAAGTTAGGAGGATGGTAGTCCAAGGCTGGCCTGGACAAAAGAGATCTTACCTGACAACCTAGAGCAAGGGGAGCTGGGGGTGTGGTTCAAGGGGCTGAGCAACTGCCTGGAAGCCCTAGGCCCTGAGTTCAAACCCAGTACAGCAAAAGAAAGGAAGGGGGGTGGGAAAAAAACAGGCTCCCAGCAGGAAAGCAGTGCTCATCGTAAACCCCAGTCTCCACCAGCAGTTCAGGCACAGTCCGGGCGGGCAGCCTCGGGTGAACCCTGTGCTGCCAAAATGCACATACGGTTCACTTCATGCTGTCATGAAATCTTCCTTTATTACACAGTGTTCCTGAAGAACAGAATTAAGGGGCCAGGCATGGCGTATACTCCTGTGACCCTGGCACTTGGGAGACGGAGGCAGAAGATCTTGAGTTTGAGGCCAGCCTGGCTACACAGTGAGACACTGTCTCAAAACACAAAGCAAACAAAAAATGTCAGGTGCCAGTGGCTCAACCTGTAATCCCAGCCACTTGGGAGGCTGAGATCGGGAGGATTGAGGTTTGAGGTCAGCCCCCAGAAATAGTTCAAGAGACCTCCCATCTCCAAAATAACCAGAGCAAAATGGACTGGAGGCGTGGCTCAAGTGGTAGAGCACTTGTTTTTGCAAGTGCAAAGTCCTGAGTTCAAACCCCAGTTCTACCAAAAACAAATCAAAATACAAACAGGATTTAAAAAAAAAATTTTTTTTTTTCAGCGCTGGGGATGAAAAACCCAGGGGCTGGTGAACTAGGTGTGTGATCTACCACTAACCTCTGCTCCCAGCCCTAAAACTGGGATTTTGAGATTGTATATTACCTTGTCTTTTCTTTTTTTAGTACTGGGCTTTTCTTTACATATGTTGGACAGTTACATTGTTTGCTCTGCTATTATGTTATTAATTTGGTGCTCATTTATAAACAGGGGTCTTTAGTTACCATTTCAAACCTGCTCCCTCAGCCTCCAGGAAAGAAAGGCACGCGCACTATGTGTGGCTGCTCTCCTTCACCATAAGGCAAAAGCTACTTTGCCTTTTTAATTACAGCTCTGTGGAAACACAGTCACACTCCGTAAAGCCCACCCTTGCAGTACGAAGACACCAGGTCATAAGTAACACATCCAATAGAACGTTATCAGATCTTAATACGAAGATCCTGACACTGTCACTTGTCACGTGGATAACCTGGAGGACCTCATGCTGAGTGAGATAAGCCAGAGAGAAAAACATTGCAGCATCTCAATCACATGTAGAATCTCAGAAACAAATCTAGAGAGGTAACATGAAAACCATGCATAAGAGGTGTGGTGGTCACTAACAACAGGTGTTGGTGAGGATGCGGGGAAAAAGGAACCCTCTTACACTGTTGGTGGGAATGTAAACTAGTACAACCACTCTGGAAAAAAATTTGGAGGCTACTTAAAAAGCTGGACATCGATCTACCATTTGATCCAGCAATACCACTCTTGGGGATATACCCAAAAGACTGTGACACAGGTTACTCCAGAGGCACCTGCACACCCATGTTTATTGCGGCACTATTCACAATAGCCAAGTTATGGAAACAGCCAAGATGCCCCACCACTGACGAATGGATTAAGAAAATGTGGTATCTATACACAATGGAATTTTATGCAGCCATGAAGAAGAACGAAATGTTATCATTCGCTGGTAAATGGATGGAATTGGAGAACATCATTCTGAGTGAGGTTAGCCTGGCTCAAAAAACCAAAAATCGTATGTTCTCCCTCATATGTGGACATTAGATCAAGGGCAAACACAACAAGGGGATTGGACTATGAGCACATGATAAAAGCGAGAGCACACAAGGGAGGGGTGAGGATAGGTAAGACACCTAAAAAACTAGCTAGCATTTGTTGCCCTTAACGCAGAGAAACTAAAGCAGATACCTTAAAGCAACTGAGGCCAATAGGAAAGGGGACCAGGAACTAGAGAAAAGGTGAGATCAAAAAGAATTAACCTAGAAGGTAACACCCACGCACAGGAAATCAATGTGAGTCAATGCCCTGTATAGCTATCCTTATCTCAACCAGCAAAACCCCTTGTTCCTTCCTATTATTGCTTATACTCTCTCCTCAACAAAATTAGAAATAAGGGCAAAATAGTTTCTGCTGGGTAGCGAGGGGGTGGGGGGGGAAGGGAGGGGGTGGGGGGATGGGGGGGAGAAATGACCCAAACATTGTATGCACATAAGAATAAAAGAAAAAAAAAGAGGTGTGGTGGTACACACCTATAATCCCAGCACTGGGCAGGCTGAGGCAGAGGGATCTGGAGTTTGAAGCCAGCTTGGGCTTCAAAGCAAGACCCTGTCAGGAAAGGAAGGGAAAAGAAAGGGGGGAAGAGGAAGGAGAAGGGAGGGGGAAGGGGGAAATGAAGGGAAGGGAAGAGAAGGAAAACAGGACAGACAACAGGTAATAAAACTGTACTCTATTGGGATTTCTACTGAATGAGAATCAGTTGCTCAAGCCAACAAAACAGTGAAATGACAGGTTTGTTGACTGACTTCACCATAGTAACTACTCTACTACCCATACAAATCCCACTACGTCACATGGTGGAGTTTAAATAAACAAAAGGCAGTTTATTTTTTAAATCCACCCATGTATGCAATGAGGAGCAGGAGGCACAGGTCAGCGGCAGGACCGGTGCTTACCTTGTCCAAAGCCGTGGATTCCATCCCCAAGTACATAAGGTACGCGGGTCAGTGGTTTCTAGTGCACGCACAGAGCTATGTGAGCATCTTCATCTCCCCAGAAAGCAAGCGGGCATCTGCCCCCGCCACTCACCCCAAACTACTGCGCACACTTCTGCTCGTTCTGGACGTTCACACAAACGCAATCACAGAACGGAGGTGGGGCGAGCGGTAGAGCACCCGCCCAGCAAGTCGGAGGTCCTGAGTTCAAACCCCAGAGCTGCCAGGTGCTGGTGGCTCATGTCCGTAATCCCAGCTACTTTCTGATCGCGGTTCGAAGCCAGACCAGGCAAATAGTTCACAAGACCCTATCTCAAAAAACCCCATCACAAGAAAGGGCTGGTGGAGTGGCTCAAGGTGACGTCCTGAGTTCAAACCCCAGTACCACAAAAAAAAAAGCCCCAGTACTGCCTCCCCCTTCAAAATGTAATCAGACAATCTTACAATGTGTGGACTTTCGTGTTTTTTTTTTTCATAAAGAACACAGTTCTCTTTGGGGTTTTTGTTTTGTTTTTGAGACAGGGTCTCACCACATTGCCTAGGCTGGCCTGGAACTCACCACCTTCCTATCACAGCACCCAGACATGCTGGGATTAAAGGCGCGTTCTGCCACACCTGGCTAGAACACTGTTTTCAAGGTTCATTCGTGTTATAGCATGTACCACTGCTTCATTCCTTCTCGTCCCCGAAAACTATTTAATCACATAGATATACTACATTTGTTTATCTTCTTATCAGTTGATGGAATTTGGGGTGTTTTTACTTTCCTTTTTGCTGCCATGAAAAGGGCTGCTTGTTTGTATATGAGGTCTTACGTGGTTCTATGTCTTTCTCTCTTCTTGGCTTAAATTGACTGGGTTGTGGGGTTAATTTTAGGCTTAATCATTTGAGGATCCATCAGGCCACTTTCTAGAGCCACTGCAACTATTTTATATTCCCATTGACAGTAAATGAGGAGCTGGACACCGTGGCTCACGCCTGCAATCCTAGCCACTCAGGAGGCAGAGATCAGGAAGACTGCAGTTCAAAGCCAGCCCAGGCAAATAAATAGTTTTGAGAGACCCTATCTCAAAAAATCCCAACACAAAAAAGGGCTGGCGGAGTGGCTCAAGGTGCTAGGCCAAGGTGCACCGCGGAGCTGCACTTTCCTTACCCTAGTGAGTGCGGCACCTCCTGGTGGGTGAGTGTCTTTCCAGGAGCCCGGGCTGGGGAGGCAGCTGAGTGACAAACACTT